TAAAATCCGATTGTCCTGTCTTTAGTAAATCTGGATTCTATTTGCGCTCTTTGCCACCATGGTAGGTCTTCTAATGGTTTCAAACGATCTTCGGAGTCCAATATATCCAAATACCTTCTTGGTAATTCTTCCTGGTATGCATTTGGGAGTGTAATGGCTTCTAGTGGAAATCTCAATTTTGAGATTTTTATATAAAAGCGCTTATGTATGTTTTCCCATACTTTCATTAAAGATGCCCTTATCCAGTGCTGCTTGAAATATTTATGGACACTTGCTTTTCCATACCATAAGAATGCATGCCACCCTAATTGAAGGTCGTGGCCTTCCAGTTTAGTGTTCTCTTATCTTCCAATGTGACACAATCTTTAATCCACGTCAATGCAGCTGCTTTATAATAAAGGTTCCAATTAGGTAGGCCAAGCCCCCCCTTCTTTAGTATCTTGAAGAGCTTTCAGTCTTATTCTGGGTCTCTTGTCTTGCCAAATAAATTTTGATAACGCTTGCTCCAGTTCCTTGAAGATTTTTTTGGTTTTGAAGAATGGGAATTGTTTGGAATAAAAATAGCCATTTTGGAAGTATATTCATTTTAACTGTTGCGATACTGCCCATCAAAGATATCTGTAAGTCTTTCCATTTCTCTAGATCCTGTTTTGTTTTTCTCAACAATTCTTTATAATTATTCTCTTGTAATGAGCTGCATTTGTTTGTCATTACAATTCCTAGGTATTTTATTTTCTTCTGTAGTTGGAAACCTGATGTTTCTTGTAGTTGAGTTGTCCTCTCCTCTTCCATATTTTTAGTCATTATCTTAGTTTTATTGATGTTAATTCTCAAACCAGCTACAAGTCCATAGTCTCCAAGTTCTTGTTTCAAAGTAAGAATTGATTCCAGTGGGTTCTCCAATATAAATACTAGGTCATCTGCAAATGCCAACAGTTTATATTCTTCTCCTTTTAGTTTCAGGCCCATAATCTCCTTCTTTTCTCTTATTGAGTCGTTTAGTATTTCCAATACAAATATAAACAACAAAGGTGATAAAGGGCATCCCTGTCTTGTCCCTTTTTGGATTTCAATGTATTTTGTCTGTTCCCCATTAATCGTTACCACCACTTTTTGTTTAGTATAAATTGCCTGAATCATCTTCACAAAGTTAGCGTCAGCCTGTGCCTCTTCCAGAGCTTCCAACATGAAATTCCGTTAACGTTGTCAAAGGCCTTTTCCGCGTCCAAAACTATTAGCGCCAATGGTTTTTCCGGATGTGCTTCATAATACTCTATTACATCCACAATGCATCTTAAGTTGTTCTTAATTTTGCCGCTTGGTCCTTGTGTATTATCTTTGATAGAATTTTTTTTTTAAGTCTTTCTGCTAATATTGAAGCAAAAAATTTATAGTCCACATTTAGTAATGAAATTGGTCTATAGTTTTAAATTTCTTTTCTGTCTGTATCTTGTTTATGAATTAATGAAATTATTGCTTCTTTCCATGATTCTGGCGTTTCTCCATTAATCAATATATTATTACAAACATCTTTAAAATGCAATTCTAGTTGTTCTTCAAATATAAGATAAAATTCTATTGGCAGTCCATCTGGGCCTGGCGCTTTGCTTTTATTTTGTCTTTTTAGGGCCTCTACCAGTTCCATCATTGTAATTGGTTGATTAAGTGCCTCCCTTTGTTTTTCTGTAAATTTCTATGGATTGTATTTAGATATTCTTTTATCTGTTCCACTTTAATCTCCACTTTACTATATAGCTCTTTATAAAAGTTTTCTACTAGAACTTTCATTTCATGAATTCTGTTTGTTTCTGATCCATCACCTCTGCTCAAGGCTTGTATAATTGATTTTTCTTTTTGTTTCCTGATCTTATAAGCGAGCCATCTCGTTGGTTTATTTGCATTCTCAAAAAAGTTTTGCTTTGCAAATAGTTGTTTGCCATTTCCTGTGATAATAAACAATTCATTTTATGTTGCAATAGCTTAAGTCTAGTCTTCATCTCGTGTGCTGTAGAGTCCATCATGAGTTTTCCTTCTTGGATCTGAATGTCTTTTTGCAGCTTAGTATATTCCTGCCTTCTCTGTTTATTCACTCTTGCAGATTCTTGTATCAATAGTCCTCTAGAAAAGGCCTTGCACGTGTCCCATACTACCTTTAAAGGTGTATCTTTTTGCCAGTTTGTCCTGAAAAAGACTTTGAGTTCTTGCCTCATTTTGTCAATAAACTTCAAATTTTTCAGGAGAGAAGTATTCATAGTCCATCTACTTCTAGGAGAGTTAGAAACCCTACAACGCAGCAATATACGTTTTTTTCAGCAAGACATGAGTCATGGTCCAGATTGGATATGTGCTGGATATCATATACAATGATCAAGGATCTTTTAGAAGCAGAGATTGAAGCTGGAACATATGCAGATCATAAACCTATCTTGGTAGAGTTACAAGTGAGGGAAAAGAATCTTTAATAATTGTCCAACCCCTATGCATTTCGTGTGTAGCTTTGTCAGGGTGAATCTACTTTCAGATTCTTTTTAGTTCAGTTCCCATACATCTGCTTAGACTCTGATGAAGTTCTGTTCCGTTCCCATACATATACTTAAACAGACTCTGATAAAGCTGCATGCGAAATGTGTAGAGGTTGCACAATTATTAATGATTCTTTTCCCTTTGCACCAATTTGTTTCTTCATCTTTATTTTGCCTTGGTGCGGCCCCCTTTCCTCTTCACAATCCAAGCCATGCCCCTGCAGCCCAGTAAACACTCCCATAGCAAGCTACTTGTGGGGAAAGCAGATTCTATTATAGCCACATGGAAATGGGAAGATGTGGTGGCTCCCAGGTGCCTTGAGGAGCAGACCCCTTGAACAGCCAGGACAGCACTTCCTCTGCCTTCCTCTTTGCAGGCAATGGGCAGGACTCACTAGGTGATCTTTATCGCTGTAGGAGTTTCTTGTTAGCAAAGCACCCTGCACTTCAGGCATGCCTGGCTATGGATTGACTATACATGGTAAGAAGGTAGCCATGTAGTTCTAAGACATGTTAGATGTACCCTAAGTCAGGTTTTCCAGAGGCTTCTGTTAACATCTATTGCAGGGAAAGGGTACAAAACACGATTAGACCCTACCTATATCACAAAGAGTTTATGCTATGGGGGAAATCTGCAGGCTTCCAGGCCTAGTGACTAGAAAGGAACCTTAAAAAATGAACATTGTCTCAGCTAGAAGAAATCTGTATCACCCACTATTGTGGACAATACACAATGGAAAATCCTGCTGATACCATACAGAGAGGAAGCAAGAAGTTCCTTCCTATCTTCCTTCCAATGCTGTGGCCCTTGACAGTAATGTCAACAGATTATTAAGGCTACATCTATATTGGGGCATGAAAATGGGCCCCCACTATGGCAGCAGTTGCAAGTGGGGTGGGAA